TGGAAAATTATGAAATGTTGAAATTTGATGAATGTAATTCTCGTAAAGTCTTAAACCGAACCGAAGACCGAACCGAAGACCGAACCGAATTAAATCAGAACCGAAACCAAACCGATTGAAACCAAACCGAAACCAAACCGAACTACAATGTTAAACCGAATGGTTCAACTTTTTCTAAAACCGAAAAACCGAAACCGAAACCGAAACCGAAAAAACCAAACCGAAAACCGAAGTGCCCAGCCCTAATGCAACCCATATTAACACATTGGGTAGGGTGGAAAACGTATAACAAAACCTATGCGTGATCCTTCACATACTAAGAATAGTCCTAAGGGGTTCATACTTCTTTCACCTAGGTCAACGGGATACCAATTCAACTAGCATGCAATATATAAGACTCATACGACCTACGAACGGTACCCGAAAATCAAACTAGACATAGGCACGATAGACGGAGTTCGTTGGGACACCACGGGGGTCGGGGAAACATCAAACGGGGAAGTCGGGGTCCCAAGTGTGGGAATTTCCAGCGGGTAGCCGGTGGGTGGGGGTTCACCCGCCGGCGTTACTGTTCCGGGCAGCGGGTGCCCGGCGGGCAGCTGCCCGCCCGCCGGCTGCCCGCTGCCGGAACTGCCCCTTTTTTACCGTGGGTAGGTGGCGGGTCCCCTACCCCCACCTACCCCCCACTGACTCATTAACACCAAAAACGCCCCGGGAACCTTCGTGGAACCCGAGACCATGCTTAGACACTTTCAAACGCAGTTGATAACACACGTAGACAATTTAACGGATCAAAATCAAGAATTAAACGGCACTTAACCTATCATGCTTTTCTAGACATAATAAACACTCAATCATGCGAAATCCCACCCAATATACCAAGGATAATACCATACGAATTTCACGATATAACCTAGGGTTCTAATTATTTTTAATCCAACAAGAATACGATTCGTCTTCTAATTACAAGATTCGGTAAGAATATCACATAAGCATCAAGAACGCCCACAAGAACATCAACCTAGGGTTCTAATTACTTTTATATCAACAAGAATACGGTTCGTCTTCTAATTACAAGATTCGGTACAAATAACACATAAGCATCAAGAACGCCATACAATTATCAAGAACACCATATAATCATCAAGAACTCCACATAATCGTTAAGAACACCATAGTTATCAAGAATCTCCCGATGTCAAGATCACCCATGGAATTATCCCATCAATCATCAATAATAACATCACAAATCATCAATACACAATAATATGGGGAAAACCTACGGGGGAAATCATAACCATGAAAATAGGTTTTGTTGAGACATGGGTTACCTCTTAGCCTTAATTAATTCCTTGGCTATGAAGGGTCTTTCTTTAAGCTTTCTTGCTTTCTTGATTTCTTCTAAGGGAATTCTTGGAGCTCTTTGGGGTGGTGAGTCGTTTATTCCGGTGGGGGGTCCTAGGTGTCTCTTAAGTCCCCTATTTATATATTTAGGAGTCCTAATTAGGAACTAATATTATAGGCTTGCTAATTCTATTCCTTTTGGAACTAAGGATTGGGTTTAGGGATAAGGGCCCATGGACTATGGTGGGCCTCCCTAATTAATTGTTGTGATTTAATTCTTTTTCCTAGGTGATTAATTAAATTATTTAATTGGTTTTAGGGGTCGTAACACGGGGTGTTACAGTGGTATCCCGGAGGGAAATGAGGATCAGGAGGGGGATGACGAGCATAACCCGTCGGTGCACCCACAATCGGGGGGGAACCCAAGAGGGCAAAACGAGGGCTCGATCAACGAACGCATCCTAGCACAACTCAACCGGAAAAACCAAATCATGGAGGAAGGGTTCTCGTCCTTGATCCGTACAACACGCGCACTGGACCAGAGGGTGGCGACAATCGAGGCCACCTTGGGCACACGCGAGGCATCCAGTTCCGGGACAGGAAAACCAATGTAGACACAAACTCCTCTATCACAACACCACCAAGAGTCCAGTCTACCCCAGCTAAGATAAAACATGGGGCCACATTCCTAACCAGGAGGCCAAGATGCGGGATGTCTAGGGGTGAAGGAATGGATCGACACACCGGGCTTCGGGGACGAAGCCCCTTGTAAGGGGGGGAGAGTGTAACACCCCGTGTTACAACCCCTAAAACCAATTAAATCGTTTAATCAATTGCCCAAAGGCAGGATTGAATTACAATAATTAATTTAGAAGAGGCCCACCATAGTCCGTGGGGCCCCACCCCTAAAACCTAACCCTAGCCCTAAAAGGAATAGAATTAGCAAGCCCATTATACCAGACCCTAATTAGGACTCCTAAGAATATAAATAGGGGACATAAAAGGCACCTAGAACCCCCACCACAATAATCTCTCACCACCCAAAGAGTTCCAAGAATTCCCTTAGAAGAAAGCAAGAAAGCTTAAAGAAAGACCCTTCATAGCCAAGGAATTAATTAAGGCTAAGAGGTAACCCATGTCTCAACAAAACCTATTTTCATAGCTATGTTTCCCCTCTTAGGATTTCCCCCATTTTCTTGTGCAATTGTTGATTCGTTATAAGGATCTTGATAATTGGTGTTATAATTCCATGGGTGATCTTGATAGGTTCTTGATGATTAAATGGTGTTCTTGATGTTCTTGATGATTATGTGATGTTCTTGATGATTATATGATGTTCTTGATGCTTATGTGCCTTTCCCACCGAATCTCGGTATTAAAAGATGAATCGCGTTCTTGTTGATTTAAAAGTGATTAGAACCCTAGGTTGTATTGTGGAATTCGTATGGTATTGCTCTTGATATGTTGGGTGGGAATTCGCATGTTTTGGGGATTGATTATGTTAGGAAATCATGATAGGTTATGTGCCGTATGTTTCTTGATTTCGGTCCGTTAATTGTCTACGTGTTGTTGTCGGTTGCGTTTGAAAGTGTCTAAGCATGGCTTCGGGTTCCACAAAGGTTCCCGGGGCATTTTTAGTGAAAAAGAGTCAGTGGGGGTAGGTTGGGGTAGGGGACCCGCCACCTACCCGCGGCCAAGGAGGGTAGCTGCCCACCGGGCACCCGCTGCCCGGAACAGTAACACCGGCGGGTAGCCGGCGGGTGAACCCCCACCCACCGGCTACCCGTTGGAAATTCCCACACTTTGGGATCCCGGCTTCCCCGTTTGATGTTCCCCCGACCCCCGTGGTGTCCTAACGGATCCCTCCCATCGTGCCTATGTCTAGTTTGATGTTCGGGTACCGTTCGTAGGTCGAATGAGTCTTATATATTGCATGCTAGTTGGATTGGTACCCCATTGGCCTAGGTATAAGAAGTATGAACCCCTTAGGGCTATTCTTAGTTGTGGGTAACCACGTATTGGTTCGTTATACGATTTCTCCCCTTTCCCAATGTGTTAATGTGGGTTGTATGTGCTTGCTATGTGTTATGTGTGCGTGTTACCCCGATGTGGTTGAGATCAATCGGGCTATACGGGCAGTCGGATGGGCTGAGAACCATACCGGCTGTTAACCAGGCTGGTAGAGACCGGTCAGGTATATAAATATTACATAGGACTGAGGTCCACTATACGGGCAGTTGAATGGGTTGAGAACCATCCCAACTGTTAACCAGGCTGGTAGAGACCGGTCAGGTATATAAATATTATATAGGACAGAGGTCCACTATACGGGCAATTGAATGGGTTGAGAACCATCCCAACTGTTAACCAGGCTGGTAAAGACCGGTCAGGTATATAAATATTGTATAGAGCTGCGGTTCATCGGTCGGTTGCGATCGACCCCTCCGTATTGTGAGACGGGGCAGGGTGCTGCGGGGCCATGTCAGAGCTATATGCGCTGACCCTCATGTATGGGCATGCGATTGGTCCTGTGGCGCCAACAAAGTGTGCTATATGATGAGATAGGAAGGATTGATGTTGTGACTGTTATGGAAACGTGACCGTAGGATTCTTGCTAGTAAACTATACATGTTTAATTGTGATTATTGGTTGTGTTTATCTATAACTGTGCCCTATGTCGAGAATCGTATATACTTGGCTATGACTGTAGATTGTGTGTACCCCTATTTGTCGAGTCGGTTCCCTGATTTGAAAGCTAGAGTCTCTTAGGATATATCTTCATGCTTCGAAATGACTTTTCGTATATCTGTTCAGCGAGAGATGCTGGTAACCCACTCCAACGCGTTGAAATACAATACATATATATATATATATATATATCTATGTATATATATATATATATATATATATATATATATATATATATATATATATATATATATATGTATTGTATTTCAACGCGTTGGAGTGGGTTACCAGCATCTCTCGCTGAACAGATATATTTGGCTTTCAGGCACGGAAGAATAAGTCACTGGAGCGCGCTAGATCTTGGAGCGTAGAAGTAGGTAGTTTCCCTTTTGGCCTGCGTGCCATGTTATGCATTTACTTTATTAAGGATATTAGTTAGTTGGCCTGTGCACCTGAGTTCTCTAGCTCTGGTGTGGCATAACACCCCGTACTCTTTACGTTACGTTTTTGGGAATTAATGAGATTTCACCTTTATTTTATAAGTTTTAAATGTCCTGAAAATCTGGGGTGTTACAAAACGCGCACGTTTTGTGCCTGAGCGCGCATTGCTATGTGCGACGTGGTGCACAGTATAAATGGCCTTTAACCAAACAAGGTAATATTATATTCCATAATCCAACGAAACACATAAAGTAATCTTACATCCCAAAATCTCACATTACATTCCTGGAGGTAATCCTATAACACCCCCGAAGCGTATGAATTATATACCTGAAATAGATTAGTAGTTGTTAAGATGAGTGAAACAGATTATCGTTAAACTGAACTCTGAGAAGATACAGGAATACAAAAGGAGATTAGAGTCCTACCTGACTACACCTAGTCAATAGCTAATAGTTATAGGACTATTTCAACTCTAATGTTACATAATAATTAAATAGGAAATATAACATTACTAACACTCCCCCTCAAGCTGAAGGTGGTGTGGATACAACACCAAGCTTGTCTCGTAGAGTCCCAAAGCGAGCTGACGGAAGAGGCTTGGTGAAGACGTCGGCTAACTGATCTTTGGTGGAAATAAAATTAACCAAAAAATCCCCTGATGCTACCTTATCCCTGACGAAGTGGTAGTCAATCTCAACATGCTTAGTCCGAGCATGAAAAACTGGATTAGCGCACATGTAAGTGGCGCCTAAATTGTCACACCATAGAGTTGTCGGGGCCCCTGAATGTAGGCCAAGTTCCTGAAGTTGGGACACAACCCAAGTAACTTCAGTTGCGACATCGGCTAGCCCCTTGTATTCAGCTTCGGTGGAGGACCTAGCTACCGTGCGTTGCTTGCGAGAGACCCAAGAGACAAGATTCGACCCAAGAAACACGGCATAACCACTTGTGGATTTGCGATCAATCGGACACCCAGCCCAGTCGGAGTCCGAGTAAGCATGGATGTCAGCCGATGGTGAAGCTGATAGTTTAAGCCCAAATTCCTGCGTGCCCTTTACATACCGTAGAACCCGTTTGAGTAAACCCCAGTGCTCATCAGTGGGGGTCTGCATGAACTGGTAGAGCCTATTCACAGCATAAGACAAGTCCGGTCGTGTGATGGTCAAATACTGGAGTGCCCCGGCTAACCGTCGGTATTGAGTCGGGTTCTCGTACGGGCTTGTTACCGGAGATATGGCTTGCGTGACTGCGGCTGGAGTGGATAGTGGCTTGCAATCAGTCATTCCGGCTCATGTTAAGATATCAGCCATGTAGCGACGTTGTGAAAGTAGAACACCGTCTTTCACAGGAATTGTTTCAATGCCGAGGAAAAAAGTCGGAGTGCCCAAATCACGGATTTTAAAAGTAGACGACAGCTGCCTGAGTAGAGAGAACAATAAGTCGGAGTCGTTGCCCAACATGATGATATCATCTACATAGACAAGTAGATAGACCCGTGACATGCCTCGTGTGTAGTAAAAAGAGAGACACGTCCGTCTTGGACGCCACAAAACCTGCAGTCAATAAGTAGTCATGTAACCGCTTAAACCAAGCACGTGGGGCCTGTTTAAGACCATAAAGAGACCGCTGCAAATGACACACGTAATCCGGATGAGTGGGGTCTTCATAACCCGGTGGCTGTCGCATATAGACAGTCTCAGCGAGATGCCCATTCAAGAAAGCATTATGGACATCCAGTTGCCGCATAGTCCAGCCCTGTGATACAGCTAGGGCAAGCAAGATGCGAACCGTGGTTGGTTTGACCACTGGACTATAGGTTTCAAAAAAGTCCTCTCCAACGACTTGATTGAATCCCTTGGCAACCAACCGGGCTTTGTAACTCTCGATGGTACCATCGGCCTTCCGTTTGGTGCGGTAGACCCACTTGCAACCCACTACATTCATACCGGGCTTGGCCGGAGTGAGACACCATGTATTGTTATGTAGTAGCGCATTAAATTCCTGATCCATAGCATCCCTCCACTGCGGGTGTGCTACGGCCTGAGTATAGCAAGTTGGATCAGTTGAGGCGGTTAGAGCCTGAAAGGGCTCATCCGTGCCTCGGGTCATGCGCCGGAGCCTCATGGTAAGGGGTTGGACCGGTGCCCGGACCCGAACCCTGGTTCGACGTCGTGGTGCCACAGCGGTGACCGACTCATGCTGTATGGCTAACGGTGGTTCTTGCGCTGCCAGCGACAACTCATTAAGCGGTTCAATCTGAGACTGTGTGATGATGGGGCTTGATGCCCACGGTACACCACTTTGAGTGTCTGTACCCCTACTTTGCTCGTGTGAACCTGAAGCATAGGGAAACACACTTTCGTCAAACCTGACATGTCGGCAGATAAAGGATTTTCCAGTTAATGGGTCCATGCATCGGTACCCCTATATGACGTAGGATATCCTAAAAAGACACAGGGTGTAGAACGGTACTCTATCTTATGGCGATTGTAGGGCCGCAGATAAGGGTAACATCTACACCCGAATACGCGTAGGAATGTGTATGGTGGAGTTTTGTTATAGACAGACTCGTAGGGACTGACAAAGTTTTTAAGTGCAGATGATGGTAAACAGTTTATGAGATAGGAAGCTGTTTCAAACGCGGCATCCCAGTGTTTGATAGGGACAGAGCTGTGCGCGAGTAAAGCCAACCCGGTTTCGACAATGTGTCTATTCCAGCGTTCTACTCGGCCATTTTGCTCATGCGTGTAGGCACAAGACTGCCTATGCACGATGCCAAGGGATTGAAAAATAGAGTGGAGACGGCGATACTCGCCTCCGAGATCGGATTGCACAGACTTGATAGAACGCGAAAACTGGCGTTCTACCATGACACGAAAGGACTCGAAGATATTATAAATGTCTGATTTTAACCGCATAGGGTAAAACCAGCAAAAACGTGTGTGGTCATCCACAAAAAACACAAAATATCTAAAACCCCTGGCAGAAACAACGGGTGTCGGTCCCCAAATATCCGTAAACAGCAAGTCTAGTACATTATTACTACTAGAAAAAACTCTATCTAGCGGGAAACGAGACGATTTCCCAAGCTGACACGGCGAACATAACTGCGACATACTGGACTTTGATTGAGTGACCGGGCATTTTTGTAAGACTCGATTTTGGGCACGTTCATGCGGGTGTCCAAGCCTGCGATGCCAGATATCAGGTGGCGCACGAGCGATTATTAACGCAACATGTGACCGTGACATGGGAAGCTTGTACAAACCCCCGGTGGAAGGACCCCTAAGGAGCACCGCCTTGGTGTAACAGTCCTTCACAACAAAGTAATCAGGTTGAAATTCAAAATATACTGCATTATCAATTGTAAAACGATTAACTGATAACAATGGTAAGGAAAGACGGGGGACATGCAGAATATTATTTAATTTAAGAGTTCTAGACGCAGAGTTTAATGATGCATGGCCAACACTGGTTATACCCAAACCTGATCCGTTGCCTACGCGGAGCACATCACCGCCGGAGTAGGGATCTGATTGCGCCATCATCGTCTGATCGGGCGTAGCATGCGACGATGCCCCGGTGTCCGGGTACCACGCCGCGTCTGCCACAACTGCCGCCTCGTCTCCGAGAACTGCCGCATGGGCTTGTGGTTGCGGTGCACCGGAGTAGCGCTTGAAACAATGTAGCGCCGTATGCCCATGCGACCGGCAGATTTGGCATCTCGGTCCTCCGCCACGCCCTCTGCCCTGTCCACCCCGACCACGGCCGCCTCTGCCGCGCCACTGCTGTCCGGAACCAGCATGCCGGGGTCCGCCGCCGGCGACCTGATTCTGTGCGTAGCCCCGGCCAGCGATCAACGCCGTGTGCCCGGCCGAGATACTCCGCGGGTGTACTATCGCCTTGCCTGAGCGACTGGAATTGCGCCAGGAGATTAAGGCATCTCGCCCGTGTGGAGGAACCAAGCGCGGTTGTGATGGACGACCATACCTCCTGCGACGTGGTGCGGCCTACGGCGAGATATAGTACTTCGTCCGCCATTGAGGATACAAGCAGAGACAGAATGCTTTGGTCCTGTTGTACCCATACGCCATGAGCGGGATTCGGAGACGTGGTGGCCGTGACGCCGGAAGCAGCATCGCCGGAAGCCGGGGTGTCCAACGTCGCTGGCGGGCACGGCGTATCGCCTGTTACGAACCAGAGTAGCCCCTGTCCACGGAGGAATGGAACAAGCTGAGTGCGCCAGAACAGGAAATTCTTGGTGGTTAACTTCATAGAGATGAAGTGGTGAGCCGATGAAAGGGTGTTTGGGGTGTTGGTGGTCGTCGGTGTAGCGGCGGTGACTGTCCGTTCGCTAGAATTAGTCGACATATTCGGAGAGGGAGAGATAATAGGTTCACCTAGTTTACTGATACCAGATGAGTGAAACAGATTATCGTTAAACTGAACTCCGAGAAGATACAGGAATACAAAAGGAGATTAGAGTCCTACCTGACTACACCTAGTCAATAGTTAATAGTTATAGGACTATTTCAACTCTAATGTTACATAATAATTAAATAGGAAATATAACATTACTAACAGTTAACACACAACATAATTGTGTCTCTTATTTTACGAATTTATGTCTTGTATTATGAAATTATCTGTCTATAGTTCATAAATTATCTACATAAATTAGATTTGAGAATAAGTAAATATATAACATGTTTATGTGTTTTGTGTTGTGAATTTTTGTGTCTCGTGTTATGAAATTCTGTATATTAAAGAGTATTGATTCTGTACCTAGAATAAATTAAAATTTGTGTTGAAACATGAGAAACGGAAACCCATAAAATATGTTAAAGTTTATCAAAACGACGTCATTTTGATCTAAAATTCATAATGCCACGTGGACTTGGTCCACAATATAATTTGCCTTTAAACTATAGGATTTATCGATTTCAGACTTATGGAGTTAGCTCTTTGATTTCGGGCTAATATTAACATCTATACTAAAATGATGATTTTAACTAAATATTAATGTCAAGGACTTTGTAGTTCAATACTGCATTGTAATAGAGTCAATAATATTCAAAATAAATAAATAAAGAGTTTTTTGCACTTTTGGTCCCACGACTATAGTGGCACTAGCAGAATTGATCCACGACTTTTGAACTTTGCAATTTTAGTCCACGACTATTGATTTTTTTGCAAAAATGGTCCTTCCGGCCACTTTTCAGTCAAAGTTCCACCGGAAAAGTTTTTTTATCCATTTTTAACAGGGCTAAAATTGACATTTTACTTATCTCAAAAAATAAAAGAAAAAAATTGACATTTGACTACATACAATATTACTGGGCTACATACTACTGCCCCAGGCAGCGGAGTTCCTGGAGCAGGTAGGGCTGTCAGTAAGCGGCGGAGCGGCCGTGGCGTTCCCCGGGCTAGTTGGGTTATCCGGCAGCAGCATTGGAGGCAGAGCCAGCACGCCTGCGGGATCATCCAAAGACATCGGAAAAGCTTCGTTGTATAAATTTCCGGCGAGAGAAGCGGCGGAGATTCTCAAATGCAATCACTTTTACCTTTCCGTTTTATGTATTTCCTTTATATTTTGAGATAAGTAAAATATCAATTTTAGCCCTGTTAAAAATGGATAAAAAAAAAAAAATTTCCGGTGGAATTTTGACGGAAAAGTGGCCGGAAGGACCATTTTTGCAAAAAATCAATAGTCGTGGACTAAAATTGCAAGGTTCAAAAGTCGTGGATCAATTCTGCTAGTGCCACTATAGTCGTGGGACCAAAAGTGCAAAAAACTCAATAAATAAATATTATTGATTCTGGTTGTTATGAGTTATCTAGGATTAAGCTAGTTTTGTGTTTTTAATTTTCTTCTTTCTACTTTGATTTTGGGCACGAGACAAGAAAAAGACGCCGGCCTGTCCCCATACGACGGTGACCTACTCCGTTGACAGCTCTTTGCGATCTCCGATCCATCCGCAGTTTCTGCGTTAACCAAACTTGGCAGTTGAAACCCGTTTAGAAGGTTCTCTCCGTATATGTCTAAATTTCTCTTCTTCATTTTGATTCTTCTATGCTCTAATGCCAATTTACGGCTCTTGTTTTGTGGGTTATTACTCCGTGTTAATTTTCCCTTTTCGTCTGTGTTTGATTTGATCTATCTTGATAGTGTGAAACTCGTTAGTATGATTGATCCTCTGAAACTTCGGAATGGCTCTTAAAATAAATTCGTAGCTGTTTGAAATTATGTGATTAATAGAATGTAATGGGAGCGATGATCACAAAGCAATGTTGTTAGCACAAGGTTGCTGATTGGGCAACAGATGCTTTTGTTAATCATATCCTAAATATTCATTTTATTTTTGTGATGAAAATTGCACTGCTTTTTGAATGGATAGGTTGTATTGTCAATATGATTGCTGCTTTTGATCTTTCTGTCAATCTCAATTGGGTGCACGGAGGCCGTGGCGGCTGTGCTTCACTTGAGCAAACTCACAAATTCAGTGTCAGAACGTCCTTTTTAACAAAAGAAAGATGCAACGTCAACAATTCAAGAAAATGCGTTATCCGCTCACCATACAGTTCATTATCAAGTCCACATCCAATAGTGTCCTCCCACACAAGTGAAGTTGACAGTTCTCATAGGACTGTAAGTGAGTAGATCAGTTTTCGGGTGTCAAATTATGGACACATTACTAGTTACTGTGTTTTTGCGAGTCAAATGCCTATTTGATGTTTTACTTGTATTATTAAATGTATAACTCTTTGCAGAGGAATCTACTTTGATCTTGATCAGGCATGGGGAATCAATGTGGAATGAGAAGAACTTGTTCACTGGTTGTGTTGATGTGCCTTTGACCAATAAAGGAGTGGAAGAAGCAATTGAAGCTGGTAAGAGAATCAAGTACTTACCTTTGGATGTCATCTACATATCGGCTTTAATTCGTTCACAGATGACAGCAATGCTTGCTCTTACTGAACACCACTGCATGAAGGTACTACTACATATTAATCCCAAATTCACAAATATTGTTTCATATGCAGACTTGGTTCTAAACATATGAAATGCACAAAGTGCTTACATTTGTATTTGAGAAATGAGATGTAGGGAATGGTTCAATGCTTATGTTCTAAGTAGACTTACAGGGTGAAATACATCTAGTTGTATGCTACATATGCAGTCTATCCTGATAGAATCTATATACCAAGATACTACCTTTTTGAACAACAAAGCCACTATTCTGAAAAAGCCTTGTTTTACAATTATTTTAGTGAATGTTGGTTGTTTGATCTTGATATATGTTCCTAATTCATGTAGAACAGTTTATGTAAGCAAGTTATCAACATCGGAAATGTGTTGTGTTATTTATTGCCAAAGCACTGCTGCTACTGATTCTTGATTACTTCATTTCTTCTTCCTTTCAATTTTCAACATATTTTTGTCATTCAGCTATATTTTATGAAAATATTTCAGCTGCTGAATTTGGTTTTCTCTGGGAATCTATGATGTTTTGACGGTTTTGTTACTTCCCAGACTTTCTCATCATGCAAGCTTAGGGGCAGCCTATGCTAAATTCTTGTTATATATATAAGTTCTGTTTCTGATTGATTGCAGTTAGAAAAAAACTGATTTAAGATGTATCTTTTTTTTTTTTTTTTGAACTTTAAATATCAGTGTATTACTCATAGCAGATCCGTACTACGGGTTGTAGAAAACTTGTCATTTGAAAATTCCTGTATTGTGATCTTGGTCACTAAGATAGGTGCTAACACTTTATGAGGATGGATGGTTAAACATCTTTGACAAAGTACCATAATATGTACTAATGATTAACCTCCATGAAGTTTTTAGGTGCCCATTATTCTGCATGATGAGAATGAAGAAGCAAAAACATGGAGTCAAATTCATAGTGAAGATACACAAGCACACTCTGTTCCTGTCATTAAAGCATGGCAACTGAATGAAAGAATGTAATTTTCTATCTGCATGCTCTTTTTCTTCGAACAATGTATTTCCCTGAACAAGTAGATCTCATGTGTGCTTTACAGGTATGGGGAGCTTCAGGGTTATAATAAGCAGGAAACAGCTGAAAGATATGGAAAGGAACAGGTTCATAAATGGCGTAGAAGTTATGATGTTCGGCCACCCAATGGAGAGAGTTTGGAGATGTGCTTGGGAAGGGCTGTTACGTATTTTAAAGAGCATGTGAGCTTGGTGACCATAACATGTAGAACACACTTTCTTGTGTATTCAAGGCTTGCATTTGTTGATATAACTGATATTTTAAAAAACCTGTTCTGCAGATTGAACCCCAACTTATGGCTGGAAAACATGTGATGGTTGTAGCTCATGCAAATTCATTGCGGTCCATTATTATGTATCTTGATGAATTAACATCTGAGGAGGTAGGGCTTTGTTTCTCTACCGCCTTGAACATAATAGGCACACTCTACCTGGATTTTAGTTGATATTCAAATGGACTCTTGATGACAGGTTATTAACTTGGAACTATCAACTGGTGTGCCAATGTTATACATTTATAAAGAGGGAAAGTTTATCAGAAGAGGAAGTCCCCCAGGTTCAATGGAAGCTGGTGTTTATGCATACTCTGAGGTTTGTGTCTTTTACTCTGTATAGCTGATAAAGATAACTTATTCTCATTTCTTCTTTATGCCATGAGGGAGGCTGGAGGGGGAGAAACTATAATTACATTTTTCTTTAGGGGGACAAACTACAATTCACAAAACAAGAGAACCTTATTAAATGCTTTAGGTTCAGTTTGCAAGACATGTTACATCTTGATTGGCCATATATATTATACTCGTGTGATTTTCTTTTTGAAGTTATTTCCGTAGCTATTGGTGCTTTAGTTGACAGTAGCTAAAAAGTTAAGCATCAAACTGGATACCCATTTTATCCTAATTTCAGAAGATGAATTTTATACAATTTTGATTCTAAATCCTCAACTGAATTCCCCTTAATTTGAGGGAACTTTGTTCCAAATCATAATCAAATGAGCATTCAAGATCTTTAGAATAGTCGCCTCCCTTCACCTTCGTAAGGCATATATTACCTTCTAAAACAGAAACATGAATATTCAATACCTTCCTCTTTCAGGTATTTGAATAAAATATCAAGTAACTGCTTTCAAAACATACATTCATCCTTCCAAGTTTTTAACCACTCAAAATTTGGAAACCTTCTTAGGTCTAAGTTCATTAAAAGAAACTCATGATAGATTAATACTTTTCCCAACTCTTGCTTGTTTAACCTTTGCTGAACATTGGCCATTAAACAAAGAATGAGCTTAGCTTAGAAGCATGTAATGGAGTTATAGTTAAGAAAAAAAGTTTTTGAGATCAATAGAGGATATTATGGTATGAACTTCTCTAAAGGTGGGTGTCACAAACTGGTAGAAGAACTAGGACAAATCTGTCTGAATATTGACTTTTGTTGGACCTGCCCCTGGTTGAAGTGGTGAAAATATTGAATTACTGGGTTGTGCCTCCTAGAAATTCTTTCTATTGATTTTTCCTCCTCAATAGAAGCTCTCACTAGAAGCCATGTTTTTTAGCTGTCCTCTTCTATGTTCCTATCTCATCAAAGCAAAAAAATCTAATTTCTTTAGATTCTCAACAACCTGAGGTTCACAATGTTTTTATTTCTTCTGGTTAGGATAACCAATGGATTATAATATTTATATATGTGGAGTATATTTTGAATTTTCTATGTAGTATTTGTGTTCACAAGTTCAATTCTAAAAGCAACTCAATACACTAGAACTCTGATGCTGAAGAAGATCAAGCAATCCTCTTAAATTGATGATAACTGTGATGGCATTTGTAGTTTTGCTCGCAATTCTTTTCCTTCAGTTTTGTGACCTTATCTTTCATCATCACAACTCACAAGTAGTTTATGATGACATGTTGGTCACTCCCTAAATTTTCTCTTTGCAGTACCTGGCCTTGTATAGGCAAAAAGTGGATGAAATGTCGGAAAACAGGTAAGATTATTACATGTGAATACTGCCTCTTTCCTTACCAGCTTTCTCAACTTTTTTTTTTTTAATAAAGAAATTGATTTTGCTTATAGCTAGGAGTATTAAAAGTGACGATAGAAGATCAATGAAGTCCCCAAGTTGCAGTGGAAGAAATGTCTCATCCCATTATTTGATCACATTTTGTTGTTCAAATAGATGAGTGCAAGTGCAACATCATGCCCAACTTCTTTTGATTATTAACATATATTCATTTCATTCTTTCCCTTCTCAGTTTCTTGAGACTTTGAGAGTTTTAAAATTGATATTTTTAAAAAATGGCTTATCAATCAAAGTCTAATTTGTTTGACCAATTTTAGCTTGTTGAACTAGTCAAAAAACTAATATTTAGTGTTTTTGGTCAGCAACTTTTATTCACTTAGCTTATTGGCATTAATAAGCTGAAAAATAAAAAAGCTACTTTAAGTAGCTTATTAATATCAATTTTATTGTATTTTTGTTTTAAATATCTTGTTTACTATTAATAGTTGTTGGTTATTGTAGTGTTTATATTTATTCAATTTTTATTTAAATTTATATTTTTAATATCATCAGAACCGTCTTGATCCCGACATTTAAGTTGATTCTTGGCCTAACACATATAGACATATATATATATATATATGACACTGCTAATTCTACGTAAGCAATATAAAATAAACCCGAGACCAATTAAAGCAAGTAAAAGACTTTATTGATCACGGTAAAGACCCTAAGTACAATCTACTTGGTTGCTCTGAGTACCGACTGACTGCGGTCGGGATTCTCTAACAACAACCTATCGATCGTTCAAAAGTCTCCCACACTGTAGCTACTGTTGGTATTTATAGCCGTTGTGCCGGAGACACGACTCCGGTCGTTCGGCATGTTCTCCACGTAGCCACCACGTGTCATCCTCCCAGGTGCCCTGCCTGTCGTCGTAGAGAGCCGCCACGTGTCCTGTACCAGCTCTCTCGCCAAAGGGCTACCGCTCGGTGGTCGACACTATCACTCGGGCAACTCCCGGTCGGACCCCGACCGGGTTCTTCGCATGAAGCCCGACCTGTTACTTGCAAAGACAAAGAAGAAAGGACGAAGGCAACTCGGTCGGGGTAAAGCTTATGTCGGTCGGGATATTTCCTACCAATATATATATATATATATATATATATATATATATATATATATATAATTTTGTTAACGTTATGTTGAATTATTATTAAGTGTTTCTTTATAGTTATAACATGTTTAGTAATAAAACAAAAAATAATTGTTAAAAATAATTAATAATAACACAACAATAACAATAAGTTGTAAAAATACTTTGAATTAAGTAAATAGCACCATATACTTATACTATTATACGTCATTTTACATGTAACTGCTAAGAGTAAATAATTAATTTACCAAGAATATTTTTATAACTAGCTAATTGCCATCTCAAAATTACTTCGTTCTATCTAACCAAACTAGGGCAAATTATTGTGTGGACCATGGTTCACACAATGTTATGTGAATCATAATAAAAAATACATTTTTAATATACTATATTTTTGTACTAAATGTACATTATACAATATAATGTACACTCAGAACAAAAATAATGTACATTCCTTGAATACAATATATATTATTTTTGTACTGAATGTACATTATTATTGTATTGAATGTACATTATTTTATAGTAGGCAAAATATGGTTCACACAACTTATGTGGATCATGGTCCACACAATAATGATTGTCAAACTAGTGCTTATGTTTGCCATGACCAATTAACATTCCTAAACTACTTTCATTCTCTCTCTCACTTTATTATTATTATTATTATTATTATTATTATTATTATTATTATTATTCTTTATTTTTTCCAATTCTGTTAACAAAGTTGAAAAAAAAAAAACATTAAAATGTGTTTTTAATGGAGGACTTTTAACCCATAGAAAGTTGGACTTTAAAGTGAACCAAAAATGAAAATGTTACCATGCATCCAAATTTGACTCCAAGTTAAAAATAAATAGCGAAGAGCCGCCCCTCAACTCAATCTTATCAAAAGAAAGGGAGGAAACAATAAACTACCATTTGAAAAAACGCCATTGTCAACCATTAACGCTTTCAATGAAGGAAACGCAATTGTCAACCACTAACCCTTTCAACAAAGGAAAATTGTGCTCGCATGAATTCAGCTCAGTGGTTTAATAGACAATATTTGAAAAAATTCAGTGATTTAGTAAACAGTATTTGAAAAAGGAGGACAAAGGAACCTTTTTTAATGTTGAATAAATATCATGATTACTATTAATAAAAAGTGACAATAATATTTTTTATTAAATAATTATTATTCTATTTTTTAAAAAATATTAGCATTTTTTTTCCATTTTGTATTAATAAATATGGTGCTATTTTATCATTTGTAAAATTTTGTAGTAATGTAAATATTACAAGTGAGTAACCACCTTGGTTGATCCGGGTGACTGTGCACTCTTATTCTTAAGAGAGGTTGGAAGTTCAATACCTCCTCTAATATGACAAAACAGGGTAGTACTTTGTTCCTTAATTAGGCTAGCCTAGTGCGAACCATGATTAATCTGAGTATGTTACAGATTTAAAGGTGTTTCTTATAATTAGGTTGTGGTTTAAAAAAATACAAGTGAGAAAATTTAAAAATAATATTAAGAAAGAAAGAAAGAAAGAAGAAGAAGAATGTGAAGTGTTAGTCTACAGGTGGCAATTAATTAGTTGATGGAATCCCCATCTTAATCCATAAGTTGTTGTGGCAACTTAAAAATTCAATTAAATTTGGCAGCCATAGCCATCTCCATCCGGAAGGAAGGCTTCAAACTTCAAAGTCAAATTTACGGTACCGCTAATTCCACTCAATATCATGCATGCATCTACACACTTAATTATTGTAACATTATTAGTTTCATTTACGTACAGACTATATATGATAATAATATTACGACTTCATTTGTTTTCCTATTTTCATTCATTTTTATATTACGTGCATGTTTTAAATTTTACATCAAATTAATGAAATATTTAACTCATATCTTGTGTTTTAAAGTCTTCCACGCCAATATAATATAATATAATATAATTAAGATAGCTTAATAACACTCACATTGAGTTCACTAATAAGGTGACAAAATTTTAATTAAAATTTCTTCGTCCATAACCTCTCCTTGACTTTTGAGTTGGGACAAACATAAACAAAAGATCGAGATTAGTGTTCCTGGCCTCAACCATTTTCTATTTGAGAATGAATAGCTTGAGATGGTGAAACGATGTCGTATAAATGGTTTAGTGTGTTTTTTAATGAGTTCTTATTTCAAGGAAGAAAATAAGGGAATGATGTGGGATAAGGAAGCAGATCTAGAGAAAAAGCGAAGAGAGTTAGACAAAATGAATTATTTTAAGTTTTTGTACATTTCTTTTTTGTTATGTTGATTGTAGCTTTGATCTTGACATCATCTCTCTTATTTATTTCTTCATCAACTCTTTTTTTTTAAGCCCCTTTCAAATATAACTCTCAAAACATCTTTCAACATTAAAAAATGTAGTCCATCATCCATCTCGGAGTATTTGTGATTCGTTTGGATCTCGAGGCATTGAATCCTTTTGCTGTGCCCCACGCTTCGACCCGACAGAATATATAAGATGATATAAATTATTGTAACTCAGCTAAATACACACTATCATTGGTGAGACTCGATCCCGGATTATTATTCTGAAATTTCACCCATATGACCAACTGAGCAGCCCATGCGGGCGACATTGAATCATTTTCTTTTTAAGGCCCGTGGAGGATATTAGTATATGGTTATATTCCGTGGCGGACCCAGTATTTTTCTTCAGTGGGGGCAAAGAAGCACAGGGAAAATAAATTCAAAAATGTTCAAATACAAGGTTCAAATACAGATAAAATAGTTAAAATACAAAATACATTATAAATTACAATACAAAATTTACGATGAACTACGGGATAATATTCCTCTACGCTCTTTCATATTTTGAAATTGTTGTAGAAAAATCATTTAACAAATTAACATCAATAAAATAAGTCTGCAGTTGGGTATTTGAAGTTTAATATTAGAAAAATCATTTGACAAATTAACATATAATTCATTATTCATGAGTTCATGACAAATTGACAACCAAATGGAAAATAGAAAGCAATGAACTGTTTTACAGGCCCTTAGGTTTCCATCTTCTAGTATAATTCTTGTAAATGGGTTTTTCCAATGGAACTCAAACAACTAAAAGCTTAAAAGAACCAAAACCTTATCATTTTTTAGATTTAAGATGTCTAGTTTAGAGATAAAGCAATTCACATACAATTTAAGTAAAATTGTAAAAAGGACCTACTTAATTAATGGCAATTCGCATAAAGCAATTCGCAAATTCAATGGCAGCAGAGGCCAATTCCTATGCAAATTAGGATTAGGATTTAGCAATCCATGGGCAGATTAGGAATACATTTAGCAATCCATGGGCAAATTCAGGATGCGTCAAATTATTTATAAATAGCAGAAGTGTCAAATAGGCCCATCTACTACTGCGAAGTGCTTAATTCGCACCACGAATTAAATTAAGTGTCAAATAGGCCCATCTATCAGCTAAATTTGTTCGCTTGACATTTTTTACAGGTTGCCTATTCAATTATTAAAAAAATAATATATTTTTTTATATTTTTTAATAATTGAATAGGAAACCTGCAAAAAATATCAATCGAACAAATTTAGCTGATAGATGGGCCTATTTGACACTTAATTTAATTCGTGGTGCGAATTGAGCACTTCGCAGTAGTAGATGGGCCTATTTGACAATTCTGCCTTAATAAATGAAATACATTCTAATTAATTACTGCAAATTATGGCAATAAGCCAATTCCTATGCAAATTCAATGGCAGTAAGCCAGATTAGGATTTAGAAATCCATGGGCAAATTAGGAATTTAGGATTTAACAAATTTATGCCAATTAGCCGATTAGGATTTAGCAATTCTAAAACCAATTCAAAAATTAGGGCAAATTAGGATTTAGGGCAAAATTAAATTATGGTATTGAACTGAGAAAGGCTCGGAGTTGAACTTGGCAGCGGAGTCGTCAGTCGTGGGCGGTGGCCGGTGGCGCTGGTGGTGGCGTTGGAACTCACGGAGTCGCTGTTCAGGTTTCAGATCGAAGACGGAACTTGCGGTGGGCAGTGGCGTGACTGGCGTCGGCCGTCGGGCTTCAGCTCTTCAGCTCTAGCGGAGTCGACGGAACTTGCAGTACTTATATGATTATCCATTAACTTTTCCGTTAAATTAATTCACCATTAACTTACTCATTGATTTCAATAAGAAAGGTTTTAGGTTCGAACCCTATCCCAATCAATGTTGGCATAATTAGTACTCTATTTTACTCTTATTAAAGAGTTAATTACCGAAATGGTCCCTTGACTATAGAGAAATTACCAATTTGGTCCTTGACTATTTTTTTTGACCAATTAAGTCCCTCAACTTTAAAAATCTTAACCAATTTGGTCCTCCGTTAGTCAACCGTTAACTTGGGACCAAATTGGTAATTCGCTATAGTCAAGGGACCATTTTGGTAATTAACTTTAAGGGTGGGCAATTCCGTTAAGTTTTTTCGAACCGAATCGTACCAAACTAGTTAGATTCGGTAATATACCGAACAACCGAACGGTAATAGATTTTTGTATACCGAACCGTTCGGTAAAAACTCGAACTGAACAGTAGAGCAAGTAGCAAGGGACTTGGATTTACTTTAAATTTATTTATTTATTTATTTATTTATTATTATTATTATTATTATTATTATTATTATTATTATTATTATTATTATATTTTTTTAAAAAAAAAATCAAACGGTATTCGGTTCAGTTCAATTTTTTACCGAACAATTCGGATCGGTTCGGATAAGTTTTTTATCGAACCGTTCGGTATACAAGAATCCAATACCGTTCGGTTGTTCGGTATATTACCGAACCAAACTAGTTCGGTTCGGTTCGGTACGGTTCAATTCGAGAAAACTAAATCGAGTTTCCCACCCCTAAAGTTAATTACCAAAATGGTCCCTTGACTATAGCAAAATTACCAATTTAATCCCAAGTTAACGGTTGACTAACGGTCAAACAAACGGAGGACCAAATTGGTTAATGTTTTTAAAGTTGAAGGACTTAATTGGTTAAAAAAATAGTCAAGGACCAAATTGGTAATTTTGCTATAGTCAAGGGACCATTTTGGTAATTAACTCCTTATTAAATTATAAATAATAATTTAGTAGCTACAACAAAAAAAAAATACATATGCATTTCTTTAATTTAGAATTATGTGTCTACAATGCCTTTATTAAAAAAAAATTATTCATTATCAATAAATTAAATAAGAGAAATAATTTCATTAGTTATATTGTCTTTATTTTTCTCCAATATAAAAATTCTTTACATTCAAATTCATCAATTGATTATATTCGCTATATTGTCTCTACAATGTCTTTATTCAAAAAAATTATTCATTATCAATAAATTAATTAAGAAAAATAATTTCATTAGTTATATTGTCTTTATTTTTCTCCAATGTAAAAAATATTCTTTACATTCAAATTCATCCATTTATTATATTCACTACATTGTCTATTATCTTTTTTGCTCACTATTTTTTAATTAAATATTAAAGTTATAATACAAAATAATGCTATATATTTATTTACCAAGTATTTTATTAATACCATGAAAAAATTAAAATATATATATATATATATATATATATATATATATATATATATAATTAAGCCAATCATATTAACTACTTGAGGGTTTTGTTGACAAAGAGAGTATTATTCAAATCATACAACAAATTGAAGTGGGAAACTATCTCGCAATGTCCTTGTTTAGCAATCAGCAGTTAGCGAATTATATTAGCAGATTTGATCAACGAATTATATCAACAGTTGATAAAAAGATATTTGAAAAAATTAACTATTTAGATTAACATGTAAAATGACATAATAATAATAATAATAATAATAATAATAATAATAATAATAATAATAATAATAATAATAATAATAATAATAATAATAATAATTGTCGACTTGTCTAGTACATGGTGAAAGGATGAGAGAAGACGAAGATGAAAGCAGGAAGAAGAAGGATTATGATTACGTATATCCAACAGCCAGTAGCTACATGAATATATATGAGATGTAACAACATGGCAGTTATAACTGCCCATACTAGAGGATACACCCCCCCCCCCATAAACTGGCGCATGGAGATCCTCGATGCCCAGTTTAGATTTGAAAACATGAAAAGCAGTAGAGGGTAAAGCTTTAGTAAGACCGTCAGCGACTTGTGAAGAGGAGGAGACGGACAACAGTTTGATGAGGCCTTGGTTGAGCCGTTCACGCACAACATGGCAGTCTATGTCGATATGTTTTGTCCGTTCGTGAAAAACATGATTCTTGGCAATAATAATGGCCAATTTGCTATCATAGAACATGGCGACAGGCTTGTTAGGTTTGCATTACAAGTCACTGAGCAGAGACGTTATCCATTGTGTCTCACAAACAGTAGAAATGCAAAGGCACGATACTCTGCCTCTGAAGAAGAAAGAGAAACGGTCATTTGCTTCTTTGAGCGCCATGAGATGAGAGCAGAGCCTAGGAAGATGCAAAATCCTGTAATGGACCTGCAAGTTTCTGGACAAGAAGCCCAGTCAGAGTCTGCAAACACATTCAACTGAACTGCAGTGTTTGTTGGATACAATAGGCCTTGTCTAGGAGCTCCTTTAATGTAGCGAAGGACAGGGTGAGCAGCACTCATGTGTTCAGATGTTGGAGAGTCTACAAAATGACTCAATTGTTGTGTGGCATACGCAAGATCTGGCCTAGTTGCCGTTAGATATAGTAAGCGACCAACAAGCCGTCTGTATGGAGCTGCATCAGTAAGAGGGGAACCAGTGTCCTTAGTCAATCGTTGTCCAGGAACAATGGGAGTGGCAACCGGTTTGCAGTCGAGGAAACCGACTTCTTCTAAGATATCAAGAGAGTACTTCCTTTGACATATATTCAGGCCATTGTCCTTCATATGAGCCTCAATGCCTAGAAACTACCCCAAGCTTCCCAAGTCTTTAATTTTGAATTCACTGTCAAGGAACGATTTTAAATCTTGAATGAGAGATAGACTAGAACTGGCAACAAGAATATCATCCACGTATATTAGAATGGTTATGAATGATGCATCACAACCTTTAGTGAATAGGGAAGGATCACATTTCGATTGCTGAAATCCTTTGTGAATTAATGCGGCACTTAACTTAGCATTCCATTGCGGGCTAGCTTGCTTTAGGCCATAAAGCGATTGGAGAAGCTTACACACTTGACCAGGGTGCTGCTCTTGGAAGCCAGGAGGAAGCACCATGTAAACCTCCTCATCTAAGAACCCATGGAGGAAAGCGTTATTGATATCGAGTTGGTGAATATACCATCTTTGAGAGGCTGCCACAGCTAGGAAGGTGCGGATGGTGGTAATCCTTGCTACGGGGTAAAAGGTTTCAAGGTAGTCAATCCCCAGCTGTTGGGTGTATCCTTTGGCTACCAGTCTAGCCTTATATCGTTCCACCGATCCATCCGCTTTAAGCTTCACTTTGTAAACCCACTTGCATCCAATTGGAGTTTTCCCAGGTGGAAGATCAACCAAAATCCATGTGTGGTTGTCTTCTAGTGCTTTAATCTCAGTAGACATAGCCTCCTTCCAACAATTATCACGTATGGCCTGATTATATGTTCTTGGTTCTTTGATAGAGGTGACTGCCATAGCAAACTGCATAAGTGGTGTGGGAAGATGATTGTAAGAGATGACTCTTGATAGCTTGTGTGGAGAAGTACCTTGTGATGTGGCTGCATCACAGTAATAGTCTAGGAGCCTGCTTGGGGGTAACGATCTCTAGCAGATCGTCGAGGAGGAACCTCAACATCAGCTGGAATCGGAATTCGAGTAGCAGACAAAGAATTTGAAGTATTACTGCCTGGCTGATTACTGATTGGTTGGTCATTCCTAGGTGGAATGGTATAATCTGAACATACATTCTCATCTGACAAGTTATCATCTGTAGTTGCAATATTTACATGATCTTGGACATACTGATCATGAGTATTATTCCTAGAGCAGGAAGGAATATTGAGCTGATTACTGTCCTTATCCCAATCAAGGTCCATGGTAGTAGGAATATTTGGGAGTGAGGGCTCATGAGAAGACTGTTTTTGGACTGTTTCAGCTGCCATAGGAAATTGAGACTCATAAAAAGTGACGTCCCGAGATACAACAACAGTTTCATCTTCCAAATCATATAGAAAGTACCCTTTGATCCCAGCTGGAAGGCCAATAAAAATATATTTCTTTCCTCGTGGTGCCATTTTGTGTCTTGCTTTAGAACTTGTAGCAGCATAACATAGGCAGCCAAAGACCTTAAGAGTGTGAATGTCTGGTGGACTGCCATACAATCTTTGATAGGGAGTTGAAAGGCCAATGGTTAGGGATGGAAGTTTATTAATGAGAAAAACGGCATGCATCACACAATGACCCCAAAACTTCAAAGGTAGATTAGCTTGAAAGCGTAAGGATCTAGCAACATTGAGAATGTGTTGATGTTTCCGTTCCACAACGGCATTTTGTTGAGGAGTGTTCACACATGAACGTTGGTGTAGTATGCCATGTTCCAAAAAAAAATTCATCCATTTGAAATTCAACTCCATTATCGCTTCGAATGGTTTTGATCACCTTGCCAAATTGAGTGACCACATATGCATGAAAATGTTTGATAAACTGCCGTGTTTGAGCTTTAGTTTTCATCAAATGAATCCATGTAAAACGGGAATAATCATCAACTATGGTAAGAAAATAATATTCTCCATTCAAGGAGCAAACCGGGAAAGGCCCCCAAATGTCAACATGTATCAAATCAAAGCAAGAAGTTGAGCTAGTAGTACTTAAGGGAAAGGGGGAGCGTTTATGTTTAGCTCGGTGGCAGACATCACAAGCTAAAGTGTTTCCCTTAGAAGTATCTATATCACATAGAAGATGGATCTTGTTGGCCGGGAAGTGGCCTAACCTTTGATGCCAGATTTCCAGGCTACTACACTGTGCAACAAGGTGCTTATTATGCATATTCGGTTCCTCCATTATGTAGAGATCTCCCCTTTCCTTAGCTATACCAATTGTCTGCCCAAGAGTCCCCTAAATCACACACTGTTTGGCCATAAAAATTAGTCTATAGGCAGTATCTTGTATGAGTCTGCTCACAGAAATGATATTGAACTTGAAAGTGGGAATATGCAATGCTTCTTTTAAGTATAGACTATCATTAAACCTTGCCCCTCCTATATGTTGAACTGCTATGCACTGACTAGTGGGAAGGTTCACTTCAACATCATTAACCACAAGATAATTGGTAAAACAATCAAGGGAACACACTATGTGATTAGTGGCCCCTGAATCAATGATCCAGGTAGAAACAGTTAAGAATAGAGAGTTAATAGAGAGCTTGCCTTCACCAGTTGTATTTAGCTCTCTGAAGTTGGGAGTCAAGGTTGTTGCAGCAGTTAGATTGGAGCTAGATCCGGATGGTTGAGGACTGGATCCAGATGGTTGAGCTGAACTGTTCTGCAAAATAGAGATGAGCTTATTCAGTTGTTCATGAGTGATTCCCAGGTCTGCATTACTCATAATAGCTGCTGCGGTTTGTTGCTTATTTTTCGACTTATAGCCTTGGATCCAGCCAGGAAGAAAGCCGTGTTTCTTATAACATCTTTCCATTGTGTGGCCAGTCATGCCACAGTATGAACACTTTGCTTTAGAAACACCATTGTTCCTTTTATTATTGAAAGAAGTTGCAGCCACTGTCTCCTCACACTTGATTTCAAACTATCATAATCATCATTTAAGCCTTGAAGGAATAGGATTACCTGATCAGTTTCCCTCTCATTTATGATGACTTCAACAAGATCACACGAGCATCTCGGATTGCATTTGCATAAAGGAATAGGCCTTAGGTTGTTCATCTGTCCCCACAAGGTTATGCTCTTAGTATAATAGTTATTAACAGAGTGATTTCCCTGCTTTAGGTTGTTGATTTCACTCTGTAAGCTCGAGATTCTCTATGCGTCCCTCTGCGAGTATCGCTTCCTCAGATCCTCCCATAAATCTCTTGCGTGATCAAAATGCATCATGCTCTGAACTATCGAAGGATGTAGCGACTTGAAGATCCATGAGCAGATCATCAAGTTGCATCTCCTCCAAGCTGGATAACGTTGTTGATCTCTGCGTGGTGGCGTTGTGCTTCCGTCCACCAATGTCCATTTATTTTTCACTTCCAGTGCAATTTGCATCGAGACACTCTAAGTGCCATAGTTGACGCTGCCGGTCAATGGCAGAGACAAGAGAATGGTCGTCGGACTGTCGTTGGCGTTTAGGTACAGAGGATCTTCGAGATCTCCTGTGTTGATGTTTTTGTGACGCTGAGGACTCAACTCAGGTGCTGGATGAATTGGAGGCCACTAGTACAAAATGGAGCAAAGAAATATCACTTTAGGCTACCCTTCTTTAAACAAGGGTAGTATATTATTTTTTAAAAAAAGGGCGGTGGCATAATTGTAAATAAATCAATAAGAAACCGCTACCCTTTCTAAAAGAAAGGTAGCGGTTTTCTAAAAAAATAAAGACGGAAAGGATATCCGCTGCCCTTCCTTGTAGCAAGGGTAGCGGATAATTATATTAATATTTAATTAATTTAATTTAATTATCCGCTCCCCTTTCTAAAAGAAAGGGCCGCGGGAACCATATCTGGAAAAAAAAAATAATAATAAATAAAAACAAAACCTCAAATCAGGGATTAGCTCTTTCACAACGAAAACCTCACCACAATGCCGCTATGCCTCACCAGATCTTCGCTGTCTCACCTCACCAGATCTCCGCCGTCGACACCGCTTCCCGCCCTCATCTCCCACGACGCCGCTGACACCGCCACTCTCTCACCTCCAGATCTCAGTCGTTCTCTTCTGATCTGAACATTCGACCATACATACCAACACAGATATATCGCCGCCGCCGACCATAAACCTCTCAGATCTGAACCATCGCCGTCGTCAACTCTCGCCGCCGTTCTCATCAAGCCTCGCCATCGCGATCAGTTTCAAATGACGACCTCCATCAAATCTTTGGGTCTTTTGGCGAGATCAAGGAGGTAACAAACTTGTACAGCTATGTTCCTCCATTATTATGCTTATTGTTTGTCCCTACGGTGCGCTATAAGAAGTTGGTTGTGTTTTAAAACAGATCAGGGGAACACCGCACAAGAGGTACCACAAGTTCATCGAGTACTATGATGTTAGGGCTGCCGAAGCTGCTCTTAGATCCTTAAATTAGAGTGACATAGCTGGGAAGCGGATAAAGCTTGAACCTAGCCGCCCTGGGGGTTCACGTCGAAAGTGAGTATACTGGTGTAGTTTGTTTCTTATTTTCAAACTTATCAACATAGATACCAAAACCATTGCTTTTTATTTATAGCCAACTCATCTATGTTCAATTAATAGCCAATCCAAATGATTACTGGTATTTAGTCTTTTTACTGCTTACTTTTCTTAAGTTTCTGATAATTTGGAAATTCTCTTTCATCATAAGCAAAACTGTATACCTAATCTGCTAATCATTATAGGATTTCCTTTGGTGGATGATCAATGAGTCTATGAGTTATTATTGTCCTCAGTTCCATTATATTAATGCTTCTTTATTATTTTCTTAAAATTAATATCAAGGACAACATTGACAATTAGGAAAGATAATTTACTCTTTCATATTAAAGGAAGTGTTACAACAGCACATGTGAGTTGAGTTGCCTTTTTGATAAACTTTCATTCAAAATCAGTTACTGGAAATACAAAATGGGAAAAGTAGTTAAATAACAAAGTTACATGGGAAAGGTATGGAACTGTTGGGCGAAGGCCGGTGAAGGGCCAAGTCCAGACTAGGTGGCTAGGGGATTGTTGGGCGGAGGCCTGAAGGGCCAAGTCCAGGTGTCCAGCACCCTGCCTCTCGAAAATGTGGCGGTAAGGAAGTAAAGTTGCGCCTTTGCTACAAGCTATAGCTTTTGGTGTAGTGGTAAACGCTTGATCCTAACAGGCATGTTCATTTTGGAAACAAGGGAAATGGTGCTGTTAGGTAAAATCTGACTATTCCTTCCGTAGATGCTTGTTTTATGCCGTTTGATTTCTTGTTTTGATAAATGTTATGCCTTGTTCATTCCGGTCATTCTTCACTGATCTGTGTGCCATTCTTCTGTCTCAAATACAGCTTTGTGTTACAAGTAAATCATGATCTTGAACAAGAAGAATCTCAAAGTTTACCTCACCAATTGAGTTCTTCAATTGGTAATTCTCCAACGGGTAATCTTTTGTTTTTATTGAGCTGGACAGTAACTTGTATGCCCTACTTCAGCTTCTGTTTCTTAGATGATGAATGGCTCACCGCTCACCGTATTGTGACAGGTAACTGGTAACAGTTTGGCAGCGCTGTAGATCATTCTCACATCCAGAGCCTCGGCAATTCCAATAGTTTTCGATCTGTCAACCCTGCACCTGGCAATAATTTAGCTGGTTTAGCGTCGATTTTGTCTCCTCAAGCATTGAACACTGTGAAGGTTGCACCGATTGGTAAGTTTGAAGGAAGTGCTGGACAAGCAGAACAGCCAATGACTATTGGAAATTCGAAGCACGGTGCTTCCATCCCGCAACATATGTGAAAATGCATATATTGTTTGTTTTCTGTTTATTCCGTTTTCATAATCTAGCATCTGTATCTTCCAAATATTGGCTGTTAAACTTGTTTTGTCTTGGAATACAGCTTACCGGACGGAATTAGAGATGGCTTAATCATTGAAGTGCATGATTCAAAAGGAGTTTATTGTGGCCGTGCAATAGCCCAGGTAGCTGATATTTGTGATGATCAGCAAATATACAATTGAATTTTTATGATTTTAAAAATAGTTTATTATGTATTTATGATTTTTCTAGAGCTTAGTGTCAACAATTGAATTTTTTGTAATAATATGGTATATGAACACTATATTAATAGCTTGATTGCAGGGAGAGAAGTTTCGTTGGTGGCCCATATACCATGAACCAGAGCATGACCATGTTGGTTTATAAACTATTCTACCAGTGCAGGTGCGTTAAGTCTTTGATGTAGGCTTTTGTAATTTTTTGTATGATCTTATGAGTAGTCTTGCCTAAATGTTTCTTTAATTTTTCGTATAATGTGGGACTGTGGTTGCAAAGACTAATGCATATGACTGTGTTTTGGAGGCAGCAATGGAAGTCCAACAGTTTCAACCGAGGAATTTGTAGATTATATTTCTTGTTTGGTGTCTTTCTCCCCTTGTTACTTAACACTAAATTCTATCACAATTGCATTGTTTCTCATTTGCAGGCCAGTAAGGATCAACTTCCTCAATAAGACATAATCAAGCCAGTAAGGATCAACTTTCTCATTGACACACCCATTTTGCCAAACTTTAGTTCTGTATTCATTTATGATCTATGTGATGAATGTAGCATGCTAATCATATTTGAAGATCATGTGCTACATTTCTTCTTTTTATACATGCATATATATTTAAAAGTATAAAGTATCTGGTAGGGAATATCCCGACCGCCGTAGCTCTATCACGACCGAGGTGCCTTTGTCTTTGTCTTTTTGTCTTTACAGGTAACAGGACGGGCTTTTTATGAAGAACCCGGTCGGGAAGCGACCAGGGATTGCCCGAGCGGTAGCCCTTTGGCGAGAGAGCTGACAGAGGACACGTGGAGGCTCTCTGTGGCGACAGATTGGGCAGCCGGGAGGATGACACGTGGTGGCTACGTGGAAAGCATGCCGAACGACCAGATTTGTGTCTCCGGCGCACCAGCTATAAATACCCACAGTAGCTACAGTGTAGAGGACTTTTGGACGATCGATAGGTTGTTGCTAGAGAATCCCGACCGCAGTCAGTCAACACTCAGAGCAGCCAAGTAGATTGTACTTAGGGCCTTCACCGTGATCAATAAAGTCTTTTACTTGCTTTAATTGGTCTTGGGTTTATTTTATATTGCTTACGTAGAATTAGCAGTATCATTTTGGCGCCGTTCGTGGGGACCCGTGCAAGAAAGCAACGTCTTGACGAGCACCCGGTCTCTTTGCAATCATGTATCCGTGGGCGCAAAACAACTTCGCCGACGACCAGGCGGATGCAGCGAGCTCATCTGGACACCATGCCACCCAACAGCAAGGTCAGACGGTGGAACTGAATCTCAATCTCTCACCACCACATCCGTCTAACACATACCCGGTTGCCCAGCAGCCGGTGAACTACATTCAACCGGGGTACCCAACACCCGCTCAGCCATATCAGCAGCAGCCGGTGATGTACCCCGGCCAATATCCATACCCGGTCCCACCTCCGCCGTACGGGTATTGGCCTGGCCAACCGATGTACTACACTCCCCCGGTTGGGTATCCACCATATACGCCTGCTTACACGGCTCCAGCCGCCGCCCCTCCAGTTCACCCGACCGCACAGGTAGAGTCGCAACGTCAGTCCGCTTCCCGGCTCGACGCTCGGCTCGTTCGCGGTTGGGGTCGGGGGGTGCTGATGCGATGGAGGCACCAGAGCAGGCCCAGCAAGCGGCCGAGGTACCCGTCCAAGCGGAGGACCCCGAAGAAACTGCCCGAGCGGCAGCTTTTGATCGTCTTCGACCGGAGATGCGTCAGCGTTTGGAACCCCAAGACCCGAACCGCCAGCAAGACGTACAGATGCAGGAGGCCAGCCAGGAGGCTTCATCCGGGTATAGCGGGTCGAGATCTCACCGACGGCGACGCGCTCGGGATACAGCCCAAGCCGCTCAAGCCGCCGAGCTCAACAAGACCCAAGGATTACTCTATAACCTCCAGGCGGAGTTTGCGCAATTCAGAAACGCGCACCCTGCACCACCCCCGGTCGAACAACCGACCCTGCACCAGACGCCTTTCACAGCGGCGGTGATGGCTCAGCCTTACCCGCTTGATTTAAAGGTCTCTGGAGAGAAGAGCTACGATGGCCGGACAGACCCTGAGGCTCACGTCAACGATTTCTACAGCAATATGACGTTGAAGGGTGTGTTAGATGCCGTGATGTGCAGGGCTTTCTATTCCACGCTTACCGGTCGGGCGGCGGAATGGTTCCGAACTTTGCAGCCGGGTTCGATCGACAGGTTTGACACCTTGGCGATCAAGTTCGTGAGGAAGTTTATTACTTCCAAAGTGGTGAGGAAGCCTTATATGTATCTGGAGAAGGCCAAGCAACTTGAAGGCGAGAGCTTGACCGACTTCCTCACCAAATGGAAGGCGGCGGTCGGGGAGGTCGAGCCCATGGATGATGCGACCGCCACCCACATGTTACACATCTCTCTCCGCGCGGGGTACTTATATCAGGATTTCATTTTACACCCCCCGGCCACGTATGAGGAGGCCCTTCGAAGGGTTACGGATTATGCCAATGCTGGCGAGGCAAACGCCGTAAAGCGCTCGCAAGAAGTCGGGTCTTCGTCCCGTAAACCGGCCGGCCGGGCGGAACACCGATCGGGTGATGACCATCCCCGATCCCGCACCAGGCCTGGCGAGTTTACGGCCTTGAACCGATCTGCAGCGGAGGCCATGCAGTATGCCCAGTCTTGCAATCTCATCAAGCTACCCCATCCCGATCGAGATGGTCCTGACAAGAGTAAGCATTGCGCTTACCATAGATGTGCTGGGCATGACACTGAAGAGTGTACCCACTTGCTCCAACTGTTGGAGGATTTGCTCAATCTTGGGAAGTTGGACAAGTGTGTGGGGAGGAGAGAGGACCCCAAGAGGAATACCGATCGGAGAGATCAGCGGCGTTCCCATCACCGCTCCGATCGGTCAGGTCAGGACCGAAGAGACGATCGAAGAGATGATCGTCGCGATGACCAACGGGACCCTGACCCTCCATCTAGCAGCCGGCCAGCAGGAAAGCCGACCATCCACGTCATTTTTGGTGGATTGGAAGACGCTTCCCGACCGCGGAGTAATTGCCCGGTCGGCATAGTGGATTCCCGGGAGACCGGGAAGAGGCAAAAGATGGAACCCATAACCTTCACCCTGGAAGATCAACCCAATAGCGGCGACCACGGCATGGAGGCGCTCATGGTCACAATTGATGTGAAAGGGACGGATGTCCAGAGGGTTATGGTCGACACTGGCAGCAGTGTGAACGTCCTTTATTTGGACGTGTTTGAAAAGCTTGGACTAGACAGGAAGGAGCTGACTCCGGTCGGTGTACCACTGTCTGGCTTTACCGGGGCTCTTTTTACCCCGAGGGAAAGATAACGCTCCCGGTCGAGATCGGCACAGCCCCGAAGTCGATCAAGGCGGAGCTAGAATTCGTTGTGGTCAACCTCCATTGCGTCCACAACATTATCTTGGGCCGACCCGCCATTATGAAGATCGGTGGGATAATTTCAATGCCTCATCTGTGCATGAAATTCCCCACCCCTAATGGGGTCGGTGTAGTCCGGGGCGACGTTCAATCCGCCCGGAAGTGTTACACCAGAGCGGTCAACAGACGCGATTCCGGTTCGTCTTCCCGGGTGAACACCATAGCCAAAGAGGAGGCTAAAGATCGGAAGGAACAGCCAGAGCCTTCCGAGGAGATCGAAGAAGTCCCCCTATCCGAGGACCGACCGGATAGGAAGATTAAGATTGGCCGGGCCCTCACCCCCGATCTCCGAGCAGAAATTTTGGCCATACTCCGGGAGTATGCCGACGTCTTCGCTTGGGGGCCCAAGGACATGCCCGGGATCGACCGATCGGTTATTTGTCACAAGTTAGCCGTCGATCCCGCAGCAAAGCCGGTTGTGCAAAAAACCCGGCACCTTTCATCCGATCGCCGCGAGTTTGTTAGAGAGGAAGTCAAGAAGATGGCGGCGATCGGGCACATCCGACCAGTGATCTATCCCGAGTGGGTGGCTAATATAGTTCTTGTTCCTAAGCCCCCAGCGTGGAGGATGTGCATTGATTTTACCGACCTCAATAAGGCCTGTCCGCTCGACCCGTATCCTCTACCGAGTATCCACCAGATGGTCGACGAGATGGCCGGGGCCGAATTGATGAGCTTCATGGATGCATTCAAGGGTTATCATCAAATCATGATGCGCCATGAAGATGAGAGCAAGACAGCGTAACCCCAGATGGGCTGTATTGTTACCGAGTGATGCCGTTCGGCCTCCGTAATGCAGGAGCGACCTATCAGAGAATGGTCAATATGCTCTTTGCCGATTTGCTAGGCCGAACGATGGAAGCTTATATTGATGACATGCTGGTCAAGAGTCGGGACCGATCCGACCACACTCGGGATCTCCGGGAGTGCTTCCAGATCATGAGGAAGTACCAGCTGCGGTTGAACCCAACCAAGTGTACATTTGCGGTTCAGACCGGCAAGTTCCTCGGCTATATGATGACTAAGAGAGGAATTGAGCCCAACCCGGCCAAAG